CCCAGTGTCTCTGCCTGGCGAGCCATCTTATCAGCCCTCCCTCACAACAAATCTTTACATGAAAAGCACAAAGAAACTAGAAGAGCCAAAACAATGTTGAAAAGAAATAATAAAGATGAAGGACTCACTTTCCACACTAATAAATTTCTAGTAGCGCATGGCTGAGCATGTATGTTTGTGCATACGCACAAGAAGTGAATAAATAAATTTTTGAAAAAAGATAGCAAGCTGTGTGTGTGTGTGTGTGTGTGTGTGTGTGTGTGTGTGTGTGTGGCGGCGCACGCCTTTAGTCTCAGCATTCTGGAGGCAGTGGGAGGCAGATCTCTGTGAATTTGAGACTAGCTCGGTCTACAGAGTCAGGTCCAGGACAGCCAAGGCTACACAGAGAAAAACAAAAGAGAAGGAAAAAAGTAGTATACTATTGATGTAGAAATAACCCCGTATTCATCACAGGTGTGGCTTTTGACTGCTGCTAAGGCAACTTAATGATAATTTAGAAGTATGTCCATAAATTCCATTAGAATAATTGAATATCTGTATGTAAAATATGGTTTCCACGTAAATTCCACACTATTAAAAGAAACTCAAAATGGATCATATTAAAAAAGTGCAAAGATATGAACATTTCAGAGGAAAACAGAAGATAACTGTTTTGGCTTTGGAATTAGGCCAAAGGTTCTTAAATTTGATTATTAAAACTCTGGCCAATAAACCGGGCTTTATTAAATTTTCTTTATATAATAAATATTATGCATATAAAATAGTAAACGTTATCCTGTTCTACAGAAGACATTTGACCTGGGTGTGGCTGTGCACACCTGTGATCTCAGCACCTGGGAGGTGAAGACAGATTAGGAGTTCAAGTCCAGCCTTAGCTGCATAGATTATCTCAAAGCCAGCTTGGGCTACATAAGACCTCATCTTTGAAAGAAAAAGAAAAAGGCAATTTAAAGGAGCTACAAATGGCAAAAATATTTTCAGTTCACTTGTATTTAGAACCTATAAAATAAAGCTCCAAACTGAACAAGAACACAAACAATCCATCTCAAAACTGGGCAAGGTGGCATGGCAACTCAAGACTATAGGCCAGGCTCCTGGGAAGTCTGAGGTGAGAGGGTCGCTTGTGCCCACAAAGTGGACCTGTGCTGACTTCCATCTCACAAACAGAACCAAGAGGAAGGTAGCTTGAACGGCACTTGCCTCAGCCATTCACAAGGCAACTAGCATCCAAGAAAACATCCTACACCATTTGTCAGTCATTAGGAAAACAGAAACATAAGCCATGCAGGGGTCCTACTAGACACCTATTGGAATGATTTGGGATGAAAACCCTAGTAAAGTTAGTACTGGCAAGGGAGCAGAGTAGCTGGGTCTTTCATAGGCAGCTGGTGGAACACATCAGCTATGAAATAGAGTTTAAAATTTCTTAAAATGTTAAGCATTCATTTTCCATTTGATTCAGCAGTCCCACTCCTACATATTCATACTGGAGGAAATAAAATTTATATTATACAAAATTCTGTGTGAAGCTTTTTAAAATGTTTTTTATTTATTTGTGTGTGTGGAGATCACCCAGCCTTTTGGGCTGTTTAATTGGTTGAGTTTTACTTTTTGTTTGTTTGTTTTTGAGACAGGGTTTCTCTGTAACAGCTCTGGCTGCCCTGGAATGTGCTTTGTAGATCAGGCTGGCCTTGAACTCAGAGATCCTTCTGAGTGCTGGATTAAAGGAGTGTGCCACCATACAGGACTGATCATTCAGCCTTAAATGGCAGAGGTTTTACCTGCTTAGCCAGCTCCCCTCCCTGACCCGTGATCCTCTGCTCATGATAGCTAAAATCTAGAAAAGACACCATGGATGTTGTTCTATAGCTGAACTGATAATCTGTGTTCATCCATAGACTGGAGAGTATTTACCAATACAATGACACCAAGCTGGCTTTGGTCAGTGTTTTATCACAGCAATGGATGGCAAACTAGAAAAGCAGCATTTCGTACAGCCATGCTTTCTCCACATGCACACACGATAACACATACAGTTCTGTACTTTGACATATGAACACACATTCATACACACACTGCAACACTCAAATACCTCAACACATGCACACACCCATACCCACCACCATACGCACAGCCATGCATTTGTATACACACAGAATGACACACACATGCTAACACACACACTCCCTCACATACTCTAACATGCAAACTCCCATTCACCTTCACACATAGAAGGCAATTGTGAAATCACAGACACATGCTTGCACTTATACACTTACACAGATATACACCTATAATGTCAATCTTAGATGTCACAAAAGTCAGCAAAGTGAGAACATTTACAGACAAAGAGGAACCCCAGACAGAACTCCCCCACAGGAGCTCACATGGCTCCATTTGATGGCCCTCTGGCTTCTGCTGAAGTCCCTTGCCTATCCTAGCCAAGCTCCCCCATGAAAAGAGGTGACCGGTGGGTGGGTTCCATTCTTTCCACTTGCCTACAGGTCTCATCGCTGGATCTGAGAGCTTTGGGGTTTATACTGTCATGTAGACTCCAAGCACATCATGTCACTTGATTCCTCATGAGTTCCATATTGAGTCCACTGTAAATTCTCCTGACCTCAATCCCCTCCTGAGTTGTAACTGACTCCACGTTGTGACTCCAAGAGCTTGCGATTGCTCTGGTTCTCAGGCATCTTCTCCATAAGAAGCACTCGGGAGGCAGAGGCAGGTGTATCTTTGTGAGTTCGAAGCCAGCCTGGTCTACAGAGTGAGCTCCAGGACAGGCTCCAAAGAAATACAGAGGAACCCTGTCTTGAAAAAAAATAACTCTAGGGATGTCTTTAAAAACAGCCCTACTTGAGATGTAACCTAGATCAACTAAACTTTGGAGCCACCTTCAGAGGTAAGGCTGGCACCAGGACTTCTAGAAGTCCCTTGGGTCATGTTATGCACAGCCAAGATCTGCCCAGAGACTGCCTGGCACTGGTCAATGTTGATCTACCCTTCAGGAAACCACAGCAGGAAAAAAAACAGATGCAGGGAGAAATCTATGGAGAGCAGGGAACCAGGAAGGCTCTGTGAAGATACGCTTATCAGAGCAGAGAAGAGAAGGAACCAGGTAACATGGAGATTCCTGTGGTTCATTCCTCAGGCTTACCCAGCCTGAACCTGGGAGGATAGGGGAGCTCCAACCACTCCCTCTGGGTGAAGTCAATTTGGCTAGAAATTTCCCTTCCCCGCAACAGCATTTCTCTGTTTAACAGCTCTGGCTGTCTTGGAACTTACTCTGTAGATCAAGCTGCCCTTGAACTCACAGAGATCCGCCTGCTTCTGCCTCCAGAGTGCTGGGATTAAAGGTGTGCGCCACCATCACCCATCTTAATCTCACTAGAACTTTGAAACAACCCTCTATGGCTTATCCTTTTCACTTCTTTGGGCTTCACCTGCAACAGGTGTTCTTGCAGCTAAAGAAGGCAATACTGGGCAGGAAGGGGATGAGAAAAGCTGGCCAGGGCAGGGATTAGATCTCAGTAACTCAGGAACGTGCTCAAGCTGAGGCAAGCTCAGTGCTGCCTCTGCACTAGATTCACCCATAGCCATGATCTCACTATTTCCCATACAACCCCATGTGACAGATGATGCCCACCCAATTACAAATCCTGCCAAGACCAGGAGATGGGGGAGCTCTGGAACACCCCACGACCTTTGCAGCCTGGGATGGAGGAGCCCATTGGAGATGTATCTTCTGCACTTCTGGCATTGGGCATGGGATGAAGGGTTAGTTTGGTTTTGTAATCTGCCAGACTGGGGCCATCCCACTGCTCTTGTGGGTGGGTTCACTTACCCCCAGGCTGGGCCTCTGCCATTTGGCTGTTCAGCTACTTCCTGTGACGCCCACTCAGTACCTTCTGCATGAACATGAGCAGGTCTGATCTAAACCAAACTCTCCAGGCCTGGAAACTCCTGCTGCACCCCAAGGGGCTGCTCAGTGACCCAGGAGCAAGATTGCCTGTGCCCAGCGATTAGCTCCAGGACATGCAGCATGGAGAAGGATCAGGAGGTCAGAGTCCCCCCACAGATGGAATTTATACCGCTCCTTCCAGACTGGCTGGCCTTATAAAAGGCTTAGGAGACCAGCAAGGCTCTTGACATTCAGCAGGCACCCAGTGTCCCCCCACATCCTGCTGCTGTTTACGAGGCTGTTGGCATGGTTGGGGAGGCTGGCGGGCTGCTCCTCTGCCAGGACTCTCACAGGGGTAAAGGAACTTTCTCTGGCTGCTGGAACCTGGCAATACCAAGTCCCTAAAATGAATTTTTATTTACATTTTTTATTTTAAAAATCAGCTTTCAATGGTTAAGGTGAAAAGAAAAGAATCTGGTTAAATAAATAAATCCAGTGGGATTTAGACACATGAATGACCAAAAAAAGAAAAAAAAAAAGAAAAGAAAAGGAAAGGAAAAAAAGAAAAGAAAAGGAAAAAAAGAAAAGAAAAGAAAAACCGTCGCTGCCCATACGGGTAAGAAAATGTAATTGCAACTCGGGTGCTCAGAATAGGGCCACCTGAGGGTCCTCCAGGCCGATGCTAAGTAGTTCTAGGAATGGTTAAGGTGTGGTGGCGGCAAGAGTATTTCAGTTAGAAAAGTAAATGCCGGGTTTGGAAGGCGAGAACGTTCTCTGACAGAATTGTACAGCCAGGTGTTCCCACAAAACACCAAAGTCTCAGAAGTCCCAGGCAACTTCTCTACTGGCAATTCCCACACGGAGCCGCCTTCCCCTGCTGGGCTGCAGCAGCCCAGGTCCTCCCAGGTCGCTTGGCCCGTGGCGCATCGGCGATGACAGATGGGGGACCCCACTCCTCTCTCCAACAACTGAACCCCAGCGGGAGATTCTTCTCCAAGGTCTCAACTCCAGCATATGAGTGGAACACGGCATGTCCCAGCCTCGGTGTTACCTCCTCTGGAAGCGGGACCCTGGGAAGGGCTGCGGGGACACTGACCTGGGAAGCCCGCGCTCCAGGGCGGGCGAGGAGCAGCAGGAGAAGGACGAGCGCGCGCGGAGAGCAGGGCCCCATCTTGCCCAGCACAGCCTGGCTACTGGGGAAGGCAGGACGCTGTTCCCTGGCCGATACTGAGTCACTGCAATGAGTGAGTCCCTTGCAGCTCCCGCGGCCACCAGCGTCCGTGGCCGCCTGCACGAGACTGTCCTGGCGACGCGGGGAGGCGCCAGCCCCGTGGCGGAGGCCGAGAGAGGAGGGGCTGCAGAGCCTGGAATGCGACTGGGAGCACGCCCAAGCCACGACTCCGGGGAGGAGGCTGGCGCGACCAAGGGTGGCCGATGCCCACCCTGGGCTGCCCTACTGCCCACTGTCCCCACTTCCCGCCGGGAGCGACCCAGGCTTCCGCCAGCCACACATGACTGATGGATGAGGCAAACTTAAGTCTGTCCTACCTCAAAGCCCACACAAGGACACCTTCCTCCAGGACAGCAGAGAACAAGGCTAGTGTGGGGGAACAGGGGCTTCATAAACTTGGCCTAGGTTAGACCACGTCTTCTTAAAAACTGTGGACCGAAATATGGGAGTTGAGTTGCTGAATTTAGCAAACGGTAAAAGCACAAGACCAACAATTAGTTCAGAATCAAATATAATGAGTCCAACGTGTCCTTGGTCTCTGTGACCGGTGCTGGTCAGGTGTCCCTGGGCACCACGTGAATGAGACACCTAAGACACTTGACTCATATCCTAGAATATTTATGTTATGAAATGAGGTGTTTTTACTGTACATACAAAATTTCCTGCCGCTTTGCACTACATATTTATGTGACATGGTGTGCTTGGTGTGACAATTATCAAACTATCAATCAATTTGGGAAAAAAAAGGTCAAAAATGCTTCTCGTTCTTCAATATCAAATATTCAGACAAGATTTAGTTCTTCATGTGAAAAAAACACCAAATTTCCTTTTATCTTTAATAAATGATAAAATTATATTTATAGCAAAGAATTACTTTAAAATAAACTTAAAATTTTAATAATAGTGCTCCCCAGGATTTTAGGAGCACGCATACCCAGTGACTAAGAATCTACAACCCCCTTCTGGTTTACAGTCTATTTCCCAAGAGCTTCAACTAGGGGCGAGTTACAGAACCTCACTAAGGTATGGTTAGGTAACAGCCCTGGGATGGACAGGCAAGAAGTTAAATCCCTACACCTAGGCTGTGCGTGAACCAGACGCCTCTGACCTCTGCTCCTGGAAAACACAACTTAGTTATCACTGGAAGAAGATCTTACATAGCTCACTCTAATTGTACAGAATGGTTCTGAAGCCCACAGCCCTTGACCTGGGGCTGTTTTCAGCGGAGATCAGAAAGGCAAGCTGGGTGTCCTCCTTTGGCCTGTGAGGGCTACTATAACAAAGTACCGCAGACTAAGCAGTGTATAACAATACAAACGTGTGCCTCGAGACTCTGGGTGCTAGAAAGTCTAGAAAGTCAAGATCAAGGTATTTATTGGCAGATTTGGTGTTAATGAGGGCTTAAATCATCCTCACTCGTGGGGATAGGCAGGGGAGTTCTTTGAGGCCTCTTTTGGGGGGGGGCAGGCTGGTGGGTGGGTTTTCAAAACAGTGTTTCTCTGTGTAACCATGGCTGTCCTGGATCTTGTTCTGTAGACCAGGCTGGCCTGGAATTCAGAGATCCACCTGCCTCTACCTCCTGAGTGCTGGGATTAAAGGTGTGTGTCGCCCCTACACTGCATAAGGCCTTTTTTGTAACAACGCTATAGTGATCTAATTCAGAAATATCCTAAGGCCGCATCTCCTAATACTACCATGCTGAGGAGGGAGTTCAAACTACAACTATAGCCAGTTCCCTGGAAAGCATGGAACATGGGGCATTGGGCATGGGCCTCAGGCCTGAGGACCACCGAAGCTTCGGCTACCCAACAAATCCCACTGAGCTGTTTCCTCTGGCTCCCTGAAGCGGAGCAAGGTCCATGTCCTTGTGCTTTGAGAGTTTTGCAGGGAGACCTAGTCAGAACACTGCTCGTCACTGTCCAGGTGGGGAGGAAAGGGCAGCCGCCAAACCAGGGTAGCTTGTAGAGATGATGGCTTCTGCGCCAGTCTCCAATGTGTCTGCTGTCTATGAGAGAGCCACCCGTTTCCTGGCTGCGCTTACCTCCTGTGAATGAAAGGGTTCATTCTGCCTGGAGGGCCGGTTTATTTTGAGTTTCATCCTACCCCGTATTTACATGGCAACCTCCAAGCGCTCTTGGTCGGTTCTGGTTGCATATTGGACACTAGAGGCTGAGCGGATGTGAGCCAACCCTCTTTTCTCGCCTTTTACATTCTCCTCAGAGTCATAAAGCAGACCAGATCTCACGGAGGAGGTGGTTAGTCTTCATTGCCTGCTTGAGACACACCTCCAGGCACGTCAGAGTGTACTCCCAAAGAGGTTAGATTAGGAGAGAAGACACTGGATGGGGTGGCACCGCCCTTGGGCTGGGGGCCTGGACTGAGGAGAGTGGGGAAAGCGGAAGCCGGACGAATGGCATCCTTCTCCACCGTGCTGTGCTCAGCCAGGGAGCCCAGGGAAACCTTCCTCTTTCAGTCGCCTCCTGTCTGGTATTTAGTGACCGTAACCGGGTAAATAACTAACACAGCATGGTTGGTGACCAACCTGGGGTATGCAGGCTCAATTCTAATGTCCCCTCTCAGGACATTCCATTTTGACCTAATCCTCTCTTAACTTTTAGGATTCTCAGGACTTCGGCAATTTTACTTAAAGTGACATAGATGCCTCTCGGGTGTGTGGCTGTTTTGTTTTTCTACTGTTTCTTAAAGCCACCAGAAAATTTTGCTTTTGTGTCGTCCCTATTTGCTAGCTTCCATTTGTGACCTTTGTCCTATGACTGACTCTCCTTCGTGCTCACTCAGGGTTCATCTGAATTAACTTTCTGAGGTCTGGCTGCCCTTCTCTCTCTGTCCTCAGCTGCCCTGATCTTAGAGACCAAAGCAGATACCCCACGAGCAAAACCTGCCAAGGCTATCTCAAAAGTGGCCAGTAGCTGACATGACACTCAGTGGTTTAGAGCACTGGCTACTCTTGCAGAAGACCCAGGTTCAGTTCCCACTGCCTATGTGGTAGCTCACAACCATCCCTCCTCCAGGCCCAGGGGACTCAACTTCCCCTTCCGGCCTTTGTGGGCACCTGGCACGCATGTGGTGCACATCCATACATCCAGGCAAAACACTCATACACATGAAATAAATGCAACAAGGAGATGGCTCTGAAGACAGCCTCTACAGCTAGGGAATCCCTCTGGCCTAACAATATGGGCCTATCAGCTGGTTTGCTCCCTCTGTTTCCCCTCTGTTGTTTTCAGGAGAATGTCTGGGGACACTGGTGAGCTGTTTTGGAGCCAGTGAGATGGCTTGGCTTATAAAGTGTTCTTGTCCCCTGAAGCTGATGACTTGAGTTTGATCCTTTGGATCTACATAGTAGGACAGAACCAAATTCCACAGGTCGTTTCCCACCCTCCACATGAATGATATCATGTGCATATAAATAAATGAAATGAATATGATTTTTAATGGAAAATGCTGTAGGAGCTGAGGGTTGTTTTCCACCCTCCACATGAATGATAGCATGTGCATATAAATAAATGAAATGAATATGATTTTTTAATGGAAAATGCTGTAGGAGCTGAGGGTATAGCACAGTTGGTTGGACACTTGACTGACATTGGTGAAGACTTGGGTTGAATCCCCAGCACTGTACAAGCCAGGCATGGAAGCACACACTTCTAAAACCAGCACTTAGGAGGTGAATGCAAGAACATCCAAAGTTCAAGGTCATCTTCAGCTACATAATGAGTATGGGGCCAGAGTGGGCTACATGCGAACTGCTGTAATGTCCCCAGTTCCCTGTATGATATGGGAATGCAAAGAGAAGTTGGATTTTAGTTTTAATTAATATTTTCTCTTTCTAGATCAAAGACAACCTCCTGTGTCATTCTTCAGACACTGTGTACCCTTTTCTTTGGACAGAATCTCTCATTGGCCTGGAATTTGCCAATCTAGGCTAGGCTGGCTGGCCCCAGGATCTCCCTGTCTCTGCCTCCTCAACACTGGGATTAGAAGTGTGACCCACCATACCCTGGCTTTATACATGTGGGTTCTGGGGCTCAAACTCAGGTCCTCATGCTTATAAGGTAGGCATTTTACCTCATGAACCATCTCACCATTTAAAACTCTATTTATTTATTTATTCATTCATTTATATTTTGTATGTTCTTATTAGGTAGCCACACTAGTCTTGCCTGAAAGAGAAAGATTTGTTGTAGATATCTATGTTGAAGAACTGGTCACTGGCAGCATACAATGGAAGACAGCGATTCCAGGGCTGCCCTGTGAGGCCCTCACAGTCTCTTAGGGTGCCATGCTGCTTCCCTCCTGATCCATCCATCTCCCAGTTTTGTTGTCAGCACAGTCACAGCTCCACATCTGTCTGTGGATCTAAGTGTCATCAAGCCTCTAAGAAGTTTCTCCAAATGGTCGAAGAAACCAAGGCTGGTATGTAAGTCTGACCAGGGATAACAGGGCCAGAGGAGGGAGGGGAATCATTCAGCAGGAGAGCCATGACTTCATCCAATTCCTTCATTATACAAATATTTATCAAGTGCCAACTCCAGGCCTGGCCCTCAGCCAGGTGCTACATTATGCTCACACATTATATCCAGAGATTTGGCCAGCAAGTCATGCAGTCACATGTGGGACATTGAAGACATTGTCTGCCTGTGTACAACATCAGGACAGACGTAGAAGCTGCTGGCCATGCCCTGAAGACCATTTCCAATCTTACAAGATGAATGCCTGTTTTTTTAAAGCCAGACTTCATTGTGTCATAATTATAGACCAAGCATCATTCAATGTCTGCCAAGGTGAGAGAGGCTTTGAAAATCCACAAATGCCATTCCATAGTGAAGTCCAAATGTCTGTGGAAGGGGCAGAGTAGTGGTCTCACTTGGTGGATGATGTAGTACACGGAGTTGGACATGCCTGAGCCAAACCTTATCAGCTACAGGTACCAAGGGGGACTTGGAACTCTCCATTTCCTTGCCAGAATCTTTTTCTTCATTTATATGAGAATAAAAACATTTATCAGAGTCAGTAAGCCATCCTAAATAGTAAAGAGTCAGACATGATGGAGTTGGGATAAATAACACTATGGATGGTTGAAGAGGCCTTAAG